CTTGTTAGAGAACACCATAAAATGGTCCCGCTGCTTATGAAACCTCTCATAAGCAGCGCAATGCATCTCTGATTTAGTTAGTTTACCCTGCCTTCTGCCTGACTTCACACTAAGAAAGAGGCTTTTTATCACCATCTTCTTTTCTTCCTCCTCATTTATGATCTTAGCAAATTTACCTTACCTCCTGCCTGATTTAAAAAAGAAAAAACCCCATCAATTTCAGAAGGACACAAATCCCAGCTAACAATGCACATCCACGGAACACAGAAGAACTGGTTCTGTCTAGCTCCCAGGAACTCAGCAGCACAAAGAGAATTATGAATTAGCCAATAAGGAGAAATTTGCTGAATCACATGTATATACATGCAGGCTGAAGCGAGGGAATCTGGGTGGGAATCCAAGTGTGACCCCCTGTTGGCCCTCCCATGCAAACATGCTCATAAGAACTGGTGTTTCACTATAATGGGAAGCTTGACAGGCACTGAGATAACTGTGCATCTTGACTGTACTTAGCCCTAAAACACAAAAAGCCTGAAGCTGAACTGATTCAATCTTCCCAGGTTAATCTAAGGTGTGTAGATTGAACTGATAAGCAACTGAACACACATTCACTTTTTATTCTGGAAATGCAGCCACATCCCTGCATTGATCCAGGCCAGCAGCCGGGGGGTGCTAGAGCATTCCTTCCTGCTGGGCTGGAGCAGACAGCTTGGGCCAAATATAGCCCACCAACGCTGCAAAGGGAGATTTTCTGGGAGGCACAAAGCATCCTGGGATGCTGAGGGACTGTGAGTTAACTTAAATCTGGAGGGGATCTAGGACAGAAGTTCAATAAACTGATTTAACCTAAATCAGTTAAGTCTGATACTACATTTATCTAGGTTTATGTTAAACCAGTTTCGGCCATTTTGAAAGTGGTTTGTGTACTGTGTTACATATTTGAACCAGTTTCTGATCACTTATATCAGTTTATGTGCAATTTCTGTCCTTAGCCTGGGTGTTAACAATAAAAACTGAGCCATCGGTCTGTCTCCTGCCTTTTTTTTTTAATTAGTAGCCAACATACCAGGCAACTCCAATCCTGTTTCAACCCCCACAAGCTCACTAAAGTCATCTTTCCTTTATAAGCATTCGGGAATCAGCACTGCAATTTTTCAACATACACAGAGTATATCTTCAGCTTGGTAAAGACTGACCAAAAATTGAGCAAATGTCAATCAATGCAAAATGAAAAGTATACAAATCTCTGTAGGAGTGAGATGCTAAATGGATTAGCAAAGGGAACACAATTTCAAAGAGAATATCAAAAGAAAAAAAAAGTGTAACATTGCATAGGCAACTGTAGAGCTGAGTCCTTAGGGTGATAGAGGAATTTGTCATTTATAGCTTCCAAATAGTAATTATACCTCCTGAAGTAAAAAATTGACAATTCCTGTAAGGAAAGATAAAATTAAGGTGCTAAGGAAGGCAGTCAAGACTGATATGTATGAAGTAACCAGTTAGCATAGGTCCTGCTCCCCTATTCTGGGGGAAAGGTGGGCATAGGATACAGACACACTTTCCTAGTGATGCTGAAGTGTCATTTCTAGACAGTAATAAGGAGCTGGCTGGCTGCCAGTAACTTGGATTTCACCAGAAGGAGCAGCTGTCACTCCATAAACAAGACAAATAGACTGCTTGAATCACATGGCTGACTATGTCAGTCGGTGAAGCCCAGGTTTTAGCCTGAAGACAATGCTGCTGAAGTAGGAAGTAGAGTTTGGTTTGTCTGATGAGAATGTCACTCAAACCAAGAATGTGTGTATGGAATGAGTCTGAAGCCATGGCAGAGGAAAAAGATCCAAAGAAGAGTTGGAAGGGAAGTCCACATCAAGCCAGCAGTGACTGGGACCGGCAATTCAAGCAAAAAGAATCAGAAATCAGCCTTAAATAAGTTGACAGAGTAGACAAGCATGAATGACTATAGCAAGGGTTTTATTCTTATCCTGTGCAGTGGGACACAAGAGGTTGACTTCTGCAACTACTGAATAAGTAGAAAGAATATTAATGTGCATATTTAAGTATTGGAAAATGGGGACATTTTACTGTTGCTGGAAAATGTGTATGTGTAACTTCCCATAAGGGAATCCTCCTAGTATTCCTTGCCACACTGAGCAAAGCCAAGCTGAGGGAGCTTGCCCATCCCCAGCAGGGAGCCCATAACAAGGAGAAAATATTTCTCTGCACCAAGCACAAAAGGGATTTTCCTCTCCTTTCCCATATGGAGCAAAGCATAAAGTGAGGGGGATTATACACCCCCACAATAGGGAGCTGCTCTGTGCTCAGTGACACAAATGGCATAAGTTAATATTCCCATATAAACAAGTCCTTAGACACTTTGAACTAAGCTGTTTATTCCAACTGTACTCAAAGGGACTACCTGCATAATTTCATGTCAATGTAAGGATTACATCCCAGACCTCAGTCTGCAAATTGCTGGTTTATACAAAGACTACAGGTGACACTAGGCCCTTTCTTTTTTTGCAAATACCATCACTACAGGTGAGGAGCTCATTGTCAGCAATCACAGAAGAACACAGAAAATGCCCAGTGAACTGATATGATACATAATAGTAAAAAGGCAGAGGTGACAATATATAAACTAAGCAATGACCCACCAAAGGTTCAACCCTAACAACTATGTAACTATGAAACATCATTATATCACCGCTAAACAAACTGCCGACCAGATGCTTCTCAATGGAAAAAGCCCAAAGACTAAAAACAAACAGAAAAAAACCCTGGATGCTGGGGGCAGCAGTCCAGCATTTCCAGCTTCAGGAGAGCATGGGAGACTAGGGCTCTTACGTGCTCCCAAAGCTGAGAGCCCTGATCAGCCTGGCCACAAGTGCAATTTCAGGAGTGACAGGAACTAGCCACAATGTTCTTGCACATACTTTGTATCAGAACACGGTGGCTTATCCCTTGTTTTATCACACCATTAATTGCATTAATATGTAGCTGAGTTACTACATGAGGCCTGATTAAGCAGTTAATCACATCCTAAGTGGGATATCTGCCAGGAGCCTAAAATGCACTTAAGAGCTTAACCCAACAAAGTTTGAAAATGTTTACTTTTATGAGGAGAAAAAACAAACAGTGGCTTTATCAAACAAAGTATATAGGTGAGAAGGAAAGGGAAACTGAATTAGAAGGCTCAAACTTAATACAAGAAAAGAATACACCCATATGACTGAAATGAGACAAACTTTAAAGAGAAAATTATTATACTATAGTGATATCATTTTAAATTGCATTTTCATTTGACTTTGTTTGCCTGGCTTGATCCCAAACTGATCCCCACTCTTGGCAGCATCATCAATTGATTCCAGTGGCACTTATGAAAATGATGGAGACTCAGTATATAATAGACAGGTAACTAAGTTCAGATGTGGTATCGAAAAAACAACTGGCAGTCCTGAAGACAGTTTGTAAATCTCTCCCAGACAGATAACAATAGTAATGCTTTGCACTACTGTTATCTTTACATCTGTGTCAAAGTTCTGCTTGCTAAAAGACATTAGTTTTCATGTGTAAAGAAATAGTTATTTGTGGTTATTAGCTTGCTTTACTGTTTAACAGATGAGCTGTTTAACGTCAAGAGCTCATGCAGAATATTAGAAATACTGAAACACAATTGATCTAAGCCCCTTTAAAAAAAATCAGAACATGTGTACAGAACATCAGGATACTCTCTTGCACTCCCCTTCTCTTGAAATAAGTAAGATGAAAATGGAGAATGCCAATATGGTACATTGCCATGACCTAGAGAGAAAATGGTTTTAAAAGACTTCCGGTTTATATCCTAAGAAGATTAATTTCTGCACTCAAGCGATAATAGAGAACAATTTACAGGGGACTGAATTTCACTTGAATTGGTGCTTTTTGCTATGATGCAGAAGAAATATTTAACTGTGTCAATGGCTTATTCACATTAGAAAATACAATATAATGTGCATACAAGCAAGTTCTATGGAAGAATTCCTATCAGTATTGTTACAATTACCTGCCAAGCAACTTACACTTGGAAGAAAAGGAAAATAGGGTAAACTTTAAAGGTATGGACAGGCATTCATTTGAAACACTAAGAATTTTTGGGAAATTCGTAGCGCCGCAAAAACATGGCATGGTACGTATGTGCAGTTGTTCATGTGATGAGTTGTCTAGAGCACTTCAGGGCACACAGAGAGCATATATTGTTAATGGTCCACAGCCACAGGACCTACGTGCTGAGATCCCAGAGTGCTTTGTGGACATCTCCAGAGGGTCCCAAGGACAGCTGAGCACAGAGCAGAGCACCTCTGCTATGGCTGGCTGCCCAGAGACCGTGCTTACCCAGGGTTCTTCCCCTTCCCCAGGAACTCCTCTCTCCCTTGGCCTGGGAGTGCAGAGGTATGGATCCCCTGGTCCATTTCTACTCCCAAAAGATCATTGACAAGGACCCCTGTTTTCTCTGATAAAAAAAAAATATCCCCAATGTTCAGGTTTAAAAAAAATGTAACCCAAAATCCACTTTTTTCTGTGATCAAAATAAAACACCAGTAATATTTATATGAGTATATACATATATACACATATACATACACACAGACACACATGTATATATAATGGTGTTTCGTTTTGATCATGGAAAAATGTGGATTTTGGATTACTTTTTTTTAAACCTGAAAAAAAAGTTGGGGGGGGGGGCGTGTTATCAGAGAAAACCAGGAGCCCTGCTCACCAATCATTCTCCCAGCCTAGAGTGGAACCCTGAGTCTTCTGATGAACTCCCTCCAGAGGTGGTGCAATCACCTACCCTGGAAATCTTCAAGAGGAGACTGGACAGTCATGTCACTGGGGTCACCTGACTCCAGTTGTCTTTCCTGCCAAGTGCAGGGGGGCTGGGCCTGATGATCTTGCGAGGTCCCTTCTAGCCCCTTACAATCTATGAATCGATGATCCAGGTACATGGTGTATACCTGCGAGCAGAATCAAGGTCTGCCACTGCTTCTTCAGCATGTTTGTTCAGCTCCTGCTAAGCAACAGCCTGGGAAGCTCCTTTGGGTACTCCTGGATCCTCTGCAGTACTTGGATCTTTGGGTGGTAGCTGTGGCTAGGAATCCTTTTCACCAACTCCATCTAGTGAGAAAGCTATAGTCAGAAGGCTGTATATAACCTCAAGGTTAGACTACTGCATACAGCTATTCTTGAAAACCATCCATAAGTTTCAGATAGTGCACAATGCAGTAGTTTGCCTTCTGAAAGGGGTGGGTTTCTAGGACCATATAATCCTGGTGCTCCAGAGTCTGCATTGGTTCCCAACAGCTTTTCGGGCACAATTCACAATGCTGGATTTGATCTATAAGGCCCTTAATGACCCTACAATACCATCAATACATCAAGTCTGTTTGGCAAAAATACATGGGAGGTCATTCTCCTCGGTTGCTTTTTGGCTGTGGAACTTCATCCCTCTTGAGACTCACCAAAGCCCTGTTTTAAGTTATTGCATTTTCTTATTATAAGCAGCCATGAGTATTTGGTGAAAAAGATGGCATATGAGGAAGATAGAAAGGAAGGAAATGAATGGTTATGCAGGCACAACCAAAGTCCTAGCCACACCTGTCCTCAAGCTCTGTTCCCCATTTGCCAGCCCCCACCAACTACCTGGTCAATAAGAATGATGCCATGATGAACACTATGCTGGCCCAAACTACTTACAGACCTGCTCTGGGGCATATGACACAAGCACTGATTGCTGGGAGTGCATCATCTTGAGGACCTGGGGTGAATAGTTGAATCAGAACTTCAGGATACGCCAGGCTACCTTCACAGAGATATCCACTGAATTGGCCCCCACACTTGTGGGATAGGCCATCAGCAGAAGAGCACCCTTCATAATAGAGAGGCAAGATGCCATCTCCATAAAAAAGCTTGAAAATGGTCTGTCACCAACCCAATTTGGACAACATTGGGAGTAGCAGTGGGAGAGGCAGTGCTGGGAGGTACAAGCAGGTGCTAGCGCTGTACATCATCCTCTTTGCCAACCTGCGGGAAGTCATGAGCAAGGGGAACGCATTGCCAACTTTGCAGAGGCTTTTCTACTTGAGCTCAACATACGGGCCTAGCAGATCTGGTGGTGCCACCCCCAACTCCAGGCCTTGCAAGAACATAAAGACATGTACTTTTCATGTCAGACATGTACTTACAGCAAGATGTGCATGTATTTTTCATGCACATCTCCTGGCTGTAAGCTCTCCACAGTGTGGTGTGAGCTTACCTCGCCAGCGTGGGTGGGACCTCTCCTTGAGGGATGACTCAGCTTTATTGTCTGACTACCTTCAATCAGGGTCTGAGACTGAATCAGCCCCGGTTAGGCCTTGGCTCATTACATTGTACAACATACAGTACAAAGCCACCCACAGCACAGCCCTTGGCAAACAATGCTTAACAGAACTCTGCTTTGGTTTCAGGAGTGGTATTTAACAGTCCTTGTTGCTCCATCCATGGCCTTTAACAATTACAGCAGCCCTAAGCCAAGCTCAGCCGACCTTTGAGTACTTACATACAGAATCAACTGCCCACACGTTCTTTCTCAGTGCCCTTGCTGGGCTTGTACGTAAAACCAGAGATGACAATATGACTCAGCTATTTGTAATGCACAACAGGTTTAGAGGGGGGAGATTCATGCTGTGTTTTTGGATGATGGAAAAGGACTAGTTTTAAGTAAAGCTGCTGGATTTGAGAATCTATCAGCAGTCAACTCCAATTGGGCAGTCCTCTCGGAACATCTCAAAATCCCCTATTAAGTGGATTGGGAAGGATTTTATTTTGCTCGTGAACAAATGTAGCCCTGAGCAACATGGCCATGTGTGCACTCAGCTCTGACTCCCTGGGCCAGTAGACTTCACTGTCAGTCACAGACAGATTCCCTTGAGCTGGGGGAGGGCGGTGAGAAGCAAAGCCTTCTGGGATGCTGGAGGACTGAACTATGTAAGGTAACATACAACACGTAGTGCAATGTGTTACCATAAAAGCATTAAACATGGTGCTAGAAATTGCTGCACTGCTAAAAGTGCTGTTAGAAAAAAGTAACATTTTGTGACATATTGTTCTTCTTGCTACAAAGCACTTTAATGGTTTTACACTCACTCTTGATAATGCTAAAAGGCATATTTAACACTCCAAATGTAATGCCTGCCCAAGGACTTACTCTTTATCAGTATATGATAAAGAAAGCAAACATGAGACATATACATGTATAATAATCTCATTACACTGGGGAGTTGAGTAATAATCTCTTTACAGTGCTCAGGTAGCATGAGTTAGTTAATTCCTTCTGTGCTCTCAAAACAACTATAATTCCTTCTTTAGAGCTGTTCTTTCCTAGACTGGCACATATTCATTCTACAAACAGATCATCTTACCACACCTACTCCCTTCTTAAAAGGACAGTCCTTAAGCCAGAAGTGACTACCAACAAAAATAATAAATCACAATATTTGCATTATTTTACTTTACAATAAACTAGACTTACTTGGAATTGAAACATAGCTTTTAAAATATCTTATGTGTGGAACACATCTGAATTTACAGTGATGGATATTATAGAAAACTCTTCTATGAAGATATATAGGTACAGAGACAACTTTCAAAGTGTGCATGCTTACTTTAGCAAGTCCAACTATACAGATTCCTATGGTTCCTTCTTTTGGAAATTGCTGACCAGTGAAGAATACAGGACCCCACACCAGCTTTCTTAAAACAAAATATTGTTTAAAATTATTCAATGAAGCAAACCGTGGCATACAGAAAGGGGATTTTAAAATAATAAAACAGTTTACATTCATGAATACCTTACCTCGAATTCTAGCATACCAGTCTTACCTTGGACACTTTAAACCAGGGGTGTGCAAAATGCGGCCCGCAGGCCAGATGCAGCACACCAAGCCATTCTATCTGGCCTGCGGGACCCCTAAAAATTTAGAAAATTAATATTTATCTGCCCCTGGCTGCCTGTCATGTGCCCCTCGATGGCTTGCCAAAACTCAGTAAGCAGCCCTCCGCCTGAAATAATTGTCTGCTACTGCTTTAAATAGTGGAGGGTGCTATAAAAGTTCTAGGCTCAAACTTCAGGAATTCCACCCTAGAACAGACTTTTAAAACTAGTTGCTTCATGTTTTGTTTGCATCTTAAGCTTTAAAACAGGGAACTATATTTTTCAAGGAAGATTAGCCTTCAAGTCAATGGAAATAACTGAGAAAATCTCTGAAAAAAACAGACGTACATTTGTGCGCTGAATAACAGGCTACAGATGCATAGTTTCAGGCAGTTGAAAAAATTTTGGTCATACTCTTTATAAATGTTGTCTCATGAAAATGTGTATGGCATTTAAACACCCATACATAATTTATTTCTTCAGCTTCCATTTGCGCTATATACACAAAACACACATTCCTTTTTTAAAACAATTAAAATTAACTTACTACTGGACGTTTCATAAAAAACTTGAGGGTCAGACACTGATCTCACTAATTCTGGTTTTATACCAATAACAATTTTGTCTATTCTTTTTCAAAACATAAATAGGAATACAGTATATACATACTAGAAACCAGAGAATCCCCTGAGTCTCTATCAGGGGATTTCTCCTCCAACCTGCACCGCAAAATTAAACGGCTAATGTGCTGTTCCTGACCATTTAGAAGCCAAAACTTGTCTGCTGGATCTAACCCTAAGAGTCACCACTCGTTGGACTTCCTGCTTTCAGAATTTCACGGTTCCCTGCTTAGCACATATGCACTCCAAAAACCATGCTAAAGTTGTAACAAAACCTGAAATAATTTAAGGGCTGAAATATATCACATCTTCTGAAAATTAGTTATAAGTGTGCCTGCATTAAGACAGTGGTGTCATACCGTGCCTCTGCACTGGAAGATATACAGCACACACAACCCTAATGTTCTCTTAATGCAAATGCTTATGTTATGCTGCCTTCAATTTCATAAAGGAAACCATCGTACTGTTTCAGGATAAATTACTGAAAAATAACTTGTTTTAATCTGAAGGATTCTTCATAATTTGTGGATAAGGGAAGGGGAAAATTAGTCTTAATCCAGTTGGTACATGCTCTTCACTGAATCAGAGCTCAATATATACATGATACTGTAATTTAAATTTGATTTTTATGTTAACAAATCCAGGAACTGACACAGTATTTAGCTGTAATTGCACTTAAAAGCAGATGAATTTAATAACAGTGAAGAGCAGGTTTAATACCTGGAGTGCCCAAAGCTTGGCAAGCTCAGGTCCAAGAACTTGGGATCCCTTATAATTAATTTCCCAGCATGCTACACAGCTCACATCCTAGGGCAAAACTAATGCTGCTTCACTGTGTAAGCCCCAGGAGTTTGGGAGATTAAACAAGACTCAGAAGACAAATTAATTTCAGTTCTTACTATATAACGAAGACAGAGTCTAAAGTGTTATCAAAATGTTATCCTAAATAGAGACAGGATGGTGACCCACCAAAATGCTTTCAGTTACTAAAATGCTGCTCACAGATAAGAGAGCAATGCTGAAAGTACATATGCATAGAGAGACCAGTTAAAAATCAACTGGATTGCTCCTCAGTATAAAATCATTCCATATGCATACGTATTTATAGGCTCAAGGCCTACATTTTTAGGGTGGTGGGCAATCACACTTCTTCTCTCAAAGCAGTGGGACCCAACCTTTTGGGCTCCAGGCCAATGAGTGGTGCAGGATCAGTCCACAGTTAGTGGGCCTGAGCCAGTGCAGACATGAAGCATGGGCACAATGTGACATGTGGCCTCAGTTCTGTCTATGCTGGACTGGGTCCCCTGTCCCAGTCCTAGCCCTGCACGTTAAATCGAGGCAGCTACCCTGTACGTGCCAGACTGGGCTCACCACCCCAACCCCCATTAGTGCCACCGTAGCCCCAAACATGTTGAACTAGTCCTGCTGCCCTGGCCTCAGTTCCATGCATGCTGGTTTAGGCCTGCCGCCCTGGCCCCACATACCAGAGAGATCTAGTGAATAAAGCCACAACACCCAGCCTCTGGCCTTGAAATTTGGCAGCAGGGAAACAGTAGCAGCATTAATTACCACCACTCCCTGGCACCACATTTCTAGACCTGTGGGGAACCCCAGGGGCCAAATGACACGGTTCTGTGGGCTGGAGGCTAAGCAACAAACAGTACCTTAGAGGTACTTGCAATCCCAAGAGTCCATTTTAGACAAATAAGTATCCCCATCAGAATGTCAACATTAAAACTAAGGGGCTTCATGTCTAGAGATGGACATTTCCCCTGCAATCCATGCATTCTGGCCTCCAGACCCTCCCTCTCCCCTGCACCGTAACCAGAATTTTGTTTGGGGGTTTTTTAGGAAATTTTTCATATTTCAAGCCAAATCAGCCAAAGCAATTCCAAATCCATGAGTCATTCAAGAACCATATGTAGCCCTGCTACCAGCAAACATCTTCCACCCCCACCTGGGCCTTTAGATGTTCCCAAATCATTTGGTGGGCATCCTACGTGCAGGACCAACGCCAGAGGCTTGCATTTTGGATACCCCCAGGGTTTGCTTGCCCTCAGCAGTATGGCTGCAGGAGCAAGATAGGAAGGAGTCTCCCAGTTCCATAAAGTGGGTGTAAACTTTCAGGGGTGGCCACCAGGCCATTCCATCCAGCCCGCGGGGCCTCTAAAAAATTTAGAAAATTAATATTTATCTTCCCTTGGCTGCCTGTCATGTGGCCCTCAATGGCTTGCCAAAACTCAGTAAGCAGCCTTCTGCCCAAAATAATTGCCCACCCATGGGCCGTAAAGCCAAGATCTTCCCACTGGAAATGAAAGTGGAAGAGTAACTATACATTACCTCTGCCTGGGTACTAACCCATGCCAGAACAGTGGTTATCCCCTGTCCCTGGGAAAACCAATGTGGTGATTATGGTATTTCCCCTGCACCGTAACCAGAATCGAGGTGACCCCAGTCTGAGGAAGCAGCAGCAGCAGCAGTGGGGGAAGTCTCCCCAAGGCCAGGGGACATAGGCAACTGGTAGGAGGGGCACTGGGGAGCATATGCCCTCCCAAACAGGGCTGTCCCCACTGCCGACACCGCCAGTGGCATCAGAGGGAGTTCGCCAGCTCCGCCCCCCCTGCCCCTGCTGGCAGCTTCTGCGGGTGCCGCCCCAGACTTAGGAGACACGAGTTGCCCATGCCAGGGGAAGTACCAAAAGTACTGCCTGACTTCCCCTCCTCCTAGCCTCTGCACCCAGGAGCCCCAGCTTGGAACCTGGAAGCTCTTTGGGACACATTTCCTTCGGGAGGGGGGTGATTTCTACCCACAAAGAGGCACTGTGTCCAGGGCCCCTGGAGGCTGGGTGGGGGCATGGCGAGGTCCCGCAGGCAGCAGTGACTCTGTTGGCAGTGACAGCACGGTGGCAGTGAGCTTCTGTAGGCAGCCACGGCACTGTCAGCAGCAGGGGGGATGGGGTGTCACCCACAGACGCTGCCAGCAGTGTTGGCCAGTGGCGATTGGGCACTGCCCGCAGGAATTGCCAGCCATGTAGGTGGCGGGAAGGAGGGGATGGTGAGCGGGCATCAGCTGCCAGCGGCGATTTGGGATCATCCCCAGAGTCAGTGGCAAGCTGTCAGCAGTGTCGGGGCACCTTTTCACAGGGGATACGCTGCCAAGCGCAGGAGGTGCACATGCACCCCCTATGTGTCGCCAAAGCCAGGGAGCATGTCAAAGCCTTCCCGGGGCAAGAGGACTAAACTGCAGCAGATAAAAAAAACCCACAAGATAAATAAAAGCCTCCACACTGCCCAGCCTCCACGCCCAAACTTAGACAGAGGAGCGGGCTCTTCAAGGGCAGGCGGGCACGGGGCACCTGACCCGGCCAGCGCAGCACGAGCCAGGCGGGGAGGGGGAGGAGGAGGAGGGAGGAGGAGGAGCCGGGCCAGGGGCAGCGCAGCGCCCCAGCCTGCCCCGGGGAGCCCCCCG